AAAACTGACCTTTAGTCTTTTCTAAGTGATCTGTTTTGGCTGTGTTTTAGTAGGACTAGTAATTTGTAAAATACAGTTACATTTTAATTATTATACATTATATATATATATATATATAGATTATTGTTATTCAGAAATGAGTTCTTAAACATATTTTCTTAAAACATAGGATAATAAATAAAGAAGTAAATGCAAACATTTATCTCGTCTAGTTACAACATTTGTACTCAGTTGCTGCTTGACATAGGTTGCTAAGCCTTTTAAAATTTTGTAAGTGGAGGATATGAAACGAAATAATATTTTTTGGGTTTTATATATACAGTTGGATAACCAAAAAATCATAAATTATTTCCACTATAATTTATCAAGCTTGGTAACTAAGCTGTATTTCAGTCTAAAAAAATATGAAATTTCCAGCAGACTAAAGACACAACCTACCTCCTTATATCTTGGTTCGAAAGAAAGAGATGGTGTCCTAGGTAGTAAACTGGTTGCTAGTGTTGAATTAAAATGATAAAAGCAAACCTGTCTGGGCAAAACTCGCCACAGAGTGTGATCCAGTGAAAAAAGAGTGGAAAGCAAAGAGACAAGAGGATGACAAAAAAAACCAACTCCTCCTTATAATTCTAGCAGAAGTTGTCAAAACAGCCATAGGGGTGGTCGAAAATCCTCAGAATAAGATCATGAAGAGAATGCATGAGAAAACCAATGGCAGAAGAACATATATCAGCACATATGATGTCCTCCAGCAAGTGATGCAAATGGGCAGCAAAAAAAAGACATAGAAATGTGACGTAACTGATGAGATGCAGCTTTCAAAAGATTCCTGCCTGGAAAGAAAGTCCAGAACAAGGAAGATAAACCAATTTGAAAAGCCACCATGTCAAAGTAACTGGGGAGAACTCTTGGGATACTGAGGAATCCCAATAAATAGAGTTGCGTTCGAGCACCTCAGAAGGCATTAGTGTGAGCCACCTAACACCTCAGGTCTCTGACAGGACATAACAAATGACTTGGGTCTGATCGTTTGTAAATGTGAGAAATATCTGGCCAAAGAATCAGTGAGAAGGATTTATCCCTTTTCCAGGCTGTCAGTGTCTTAGGGAGAAAAGACCTATAAGGGTATAACAGGACAAAATTGGAGTGATATAGATTCCTGAGCACCTATAGTTCAAACAACTCTGACCTTCGAAATCCACATGACAGCAACAACAAAAGATACACATGAAGGAAAAGGTGAAACATAGTACATGAAGCTAAAGGCTCGAATGGATGTTGAGACAAAACATGTAATACCACCTTAATAACCCATTTAAGTAACTAAAAAGGCCATTTGGGATGAATGACACTTAACAAATTTAGAAGGCTGGATGGCACTGCAAATTCAAATACCATCTGATGTTTAGAATATCAAAAAGTATTTGATAAAGTCATCGTATATAAAGCAACAGTAGACAAAGCTAGACCAGAGCCCAAAAACCAGGTCAAATGAAACAAAATATGGTGAGCACCTTTGAGTGAAGTGGGTTCAATTTTCTTGTGAAACCCATTGTCTAAAGTGTGTCAATTCCATTGAGAAATGTCCATTGTGGATCTAAGGATAGACTGAAACACATACAAGGCGACTGCAGAAATTAAACCTCAATGTCGTGCAAAGGACCACCATACATAAAATTTGAACTTGGAAAAGTATAGTTGTAGAATATTGGATTGTGATTGCCTCAGCAGAGATGGCTAATAAGAAAGTGGCAAAGGTGGAAACTCTAGAAGATACATTAGAAGTGGAAACCATGGTTGGAATAAGCCAAATTGGAGCTACCAACAGTACTCAACAAGTAGTGGATCAAATCCTAGCCAAAATTCTGTTACCCTGGGGGAAAAGCATAGAGGTGTAATCCCATCCAATCTAAAGTGAATGCATCTATTGTCAAAGCCCGAGGATGAGGTACCAGGGACCAAAATGCCTGCAACTGAAAGTCCCAATGAGTGGTGAATGCATTGAACATCAGAGACCTGAACTGTGAGCAAATACACTGGAAAACCTCGCAATGGGGCATCCATTGCTATGAAATTCATTACCCCAGGAACATAGCCAGCCAGGAGGCTGAGAAGATGTAAGTGAGCCTAGTAGAGAACATCCAAAGATAAAAATCAAAGGTCTCGATAATGCGTGTCCCCTAGAAGGGAAATGTAAGAGACCACTTTGGAGTTGTTGTAATGAAACAGAACGATAGTCTCCTTTAACAGATCTAGACCTTGAACCATTGCCCGCTGAACAGCAAGCAGTTCAAGGATCTTGTTCTGGAAAGAAGTTTCGTTGTTCACCCATAGACTCTAGAATCCCTGACCATCATTATATGCACTCCATCTCTGAAGTGAGGCATCTTTGAAGAGATGAATCTCGGGATAAAGGGGCAGTATAGAAACACCAATGGTAGTGATGCTCAGATCCAACATCCACTCTAGATCTGAGATGGTGCACTTTATTAGGGAGACAAGATAATCCAGTAGATTGCCATTCATAAACCAATGGTCACGCAGCAACCACATGTGTGTGTGCATACCAAAGGAAACAGAGATTCAAGGGATGCCCACATCCCCAAAAAAGAAAACTATCCATGCAGTAGGAGAAGTAAACTTGAGTAAAGCCTGAATACACGTTCCATATCCTGAGCTGGATGGGAGGTGCCAGCATCCATCTTAAAAATGTGTTGAAAAGGACACCAAGATAAACAATATATTGAGTTGGCAAGAAAATGTATTTCTTGGCTCAGATAAGAAAGCCTGCCATTGTGGCTTCAAAAAGTAGAATCTAGGTATGGTGTTCTTCCAAATGCCAAGATGGTGCCAATCATCCATATAATAGTGTGTGCACACATCCAAACCATGAAAGAGATGAGAAGAAGACATAAGATGCAGAAGCTAGTCCAAAGGGCAGAGCCCTGAACTGCAGAACATGATCATTTCAAATAAAACGTAAATAGTGCAGGATGATGTAGCTATGGGAATGTGGAGATATGCATCGGCAACATCAAACTTGGTCACCCACAGACCTAGTGAAAAACCCAATACAGAGTGATAAAGGACTCCATTGTGAACCTGAGAGGATCTAAGAATTGGTTGAGGTAAAACAGATCAATGATTGACCGCCAAACTTCCATCTTCTTGGGCATAACAAACAAATGGGAATAAAGTCCTAGAAGAATGGGATAAAGTCTCTCTTTACCTCCTCCATGACCAGTAACTTTCTCATTGTCTTGGATCATTGGATCTGTTGGGGGTGGACATACTACAAGTTAGAAGGATAATGGGGGAGGAGAATTGAACTGAATGACTAACCATGATCCCAGAAACAGAAGAAACTGTGATGAAGGAAGTCCAAGTCGCCAGAAAATGTTTTAACCTTGCTCCCCCACACTCTACTAAAAGAGGGCAGACCATGACGCCATTTGCGACAGTCTGCCTGAGTGGAGTAGTCTCTTAATTACGGATGGGATCCATTCTAAGCACCAATAAATCAAGGAGCAGAAGCCAAGGATTGGGACACACAATGATCATGTGCACCTTGAGGCCAACACCAATAAATAATACAAAAAGGCAACACCAGTACAAAATTCCAACTGCTGTGGTGTGCCCATGAATCTCAAGGGAGAAAAGAAGGAGCCTCACATAACTCGCACAAGGATAGAGCAGGTAGACAGCTCCCTCCCACAATGCATCTCTACCCAATAAATCCTGACAACATACAAGCCAGGAAACCAAAGAAAGAGCAAAACAGTAAAGATGGTCAAACGAATCCAAGAAAATAATGATCTGTGTGTAATTGATCACAGGGTTCAGTCTGGAACCCCACATATCCAAAAGAGGATCAAGTTCTTGGGAAACTTAATATGAATCATCTTGGTGGTGGTAAGCCAAAACATGCTTGCAGACGAACGTGTGGGACAAAGCACAGCTATTCCTCACATAATTGAGCTGCAAATCTCCCCACATGAACAACCATATCATGGACAGAGTAAAAACTAAATATACACAGTTAGACCTTTCAGCCATTAAAGGAGGAGTAGATTCAAAGTCAATTGGAGAAATCTCCAAAACTAGACAAACTTGACTGATTAACTAAAGAAAAAGGAGCAGGAGGAGGTTGATCCAAAGTGGCCTCATGAGAAGCTGACCTAGTAAATGAAGGCACTGGAAAAATGCTCATCAGACTGTCCTAGATCATTGAGAAAAGCACCACATAATGCCCTGAAGAGACGCTAAAGGACAGAATATATGTCTCCATCTAAAAACGAATCAGCTCACAGACTGCCTCAATTGAGAGTGAACCCCCTCCCCTGACTGTTGAGAGATGCTAGATATTGTATAGGGGTGGGCTAATTAGTTTCTGTCAGAAACTGTAACCTGTGAATTCATGCCTTAAAACAGCATGTCAAAATTTTTTTTTATTAATATCATTACTTATATCTAAATCCACTAGGTGATGCAAAAAACATAACCAAGTAAGTTAATTATTCCAGCACTTGTGTAAAGAAACCTGTGTCTAAACGCTTTGTCGAGAAAGAGTGATGAAGTTATCTGAATGAGGTGCTTATATACAAGAGGACACACTGACATAGGTGGAGAAAATATCACCAAGGGCAGTTGAGTGGGGTATAAAAGACTGGAGCAAGTGAGAAAAAAGACCAATGCTTTGATGGGCAAATACATGAAACTCTAGTGGTCAAGCGATAGCTATAGGGTCAGCAGATGGTAAGTATGTTATGAAATGACTTTTGTTGAAGAATGACAGAACCTTGGGAAATATCAAGAGACTTGGAAACACAAATTGGTAATATATTTACATTTTATTTTCGTTACATGTCTCTCTAAACGTTTGTCTATTATGTCTAAAGTGCATAGGCCTAGGTCATTGATGTAATGATGAAATTAACAATAAAATCCATATGCTGGGTTAAAACAATGGGAAATACTAATGTGAAAAAATGTTATTATAAACACTGGAAAACATACACCAAAACTAAAAATTTGATAGAAAAAGGAAAAATTTAAAATAATTTGATTCAACATTCTAGCTGACATACTTAAAAGTTGGCATTTTTGTCATAATTTATTGTGCATGAAGAATGTGTCACCCTTTTATATCTGGAGGGCTATAGTCTAATGATGATTACATGATAGACGGGGGACAGTCCATGTTAATAAAAGTAGAAGTGGAAATTTCATTCAAAGTTTGTTGCATGCACAAAAATTTTTGGCAGATGCAAGAGATAATAGCTTTTTGCTCTGTAGAGAGGTGAGTAATGTTCCTTAACATATGGTTACTTCTCAGATTGTATCTTTTAATGGATCTTCAGATTACTTTTTGCTCCAAATTGTTTGTCACATACTATACAACTATGGGATTTTAACCAGAGTGTGTATGTTAATCAAGTTTACTATTTGTTTCAAATTGTTAACCACATACACTACAACTGTATGCTTTCTCTCAATGTATATTCTCATGACTGTTTAGTAAATTTACATATAAATTCTTTACCACATACTGCACAACTGTATGGTTTCTCCTCAGTCAGTATCTTTGCATGACTCTTTAGGTTACTTTCACTAACAAATTCTTCACCAGATACAACACATATGTGACTTGTACTACCACCAGGCATCATCTCATGTTCTTTTAGATGATTTCCACAAAAGTTGTTCTCATACAGCTTTACATCTAATATAAAATATATATATACAATAAATATACTGAATAAGAATATCTTTGTTTGGTATGACTACATGAAAAAATAAACATAAAAGCACACAAATAATATGCTTGTTTTGAAACATACAAAGTACAAGGAAGAAAACAAGATATATGGGGGACCAGACATGCCTCCCTTATGTTAGTTACTCAACACATAGTTAATTCCTTTGGTATCTTGAAACACTTCTTATACTTTTGCTTGTTTTCACTAACATGTGCAGTAAGAATAGCACATTTTACTTGCATCAATATTTTGAACATTGGTATGTTTTATAAAAACTGAAATTAACAGAACAAAACAGAGTTAGGAGATCAGAGACCATATTTTTCTTCAGAACTTATTCTGTACACAGTACATTTTACTACCATTCTAATGTAGGTTATCCTATAGACACAAACTTTCTAAAGTAGGTAACTCACCAGACATTAGATATAATGATAATAAAATCTAGAAAAAAAGTGGAGAAATTGTACCTAGAGTATAATAAGGTATCATTCTTTACATTCACATAAATAACAGTCTGTTGGTTTAGATCTTAGAAAAACAAGTCTGAAATGTAACAAGTCATGTTTGACATCTGAAATGTGTCTTAAGACTGGTAAGTCGAGATTACAATTTAATATGTGTTGTCTGTGTTTGCAAAATCTGTCATTGATTTTGTGACCAGCCTCACCAATGTACAGCAAGTTACAAAGATCACAAACAATGCAGTCTATAACAGATTCTGATTAACATATAAAAGTATTTCTAATGTAAGAATGATTTTGGGAAATGACACAAAAATTCAATTGTCAATGTGTTGAAAAGTTACACATGTTCAGTTGCAGGGGAAAGAACGAGGAGGAGTGTTAGGATGAGCAATTAGACAAGTTAGAATTAACAAGGGTATCCCGAAGGCATTGATTGAGTCTAAAACCAATAAAGGGCTGTTAATGAAAATACCCTTAGTGTCAGTATTAGTTTGAAGATTGTGAAAGTTGTTCTTGATAATTTTGGTGATATGGTAGGACACAACTGGGTGATAAGGAATAACTAAAGTAAACTTATTATGTTCTGTCTTTTGTGATAATGTCTCAAGAGTATTCTTACAAGGTTTATGACCAGCTTTAAAGAAAGCCTTTCCCAAGATTCATTTAGGATAGCCCCTAGAGGAAAAGAAGTCAGTCATTTCTTCAAACTTGGAGACAAAATCATTGTTATCACTACTAATGTGACATAAACACAAAAAATGAGAGTAAGGAAATGAACGTGGTGGGAGATGAATCAAAGCATGAGAAAGAATGAGAGTCCATATGCTTGTAATGAACAATAATGATCAGTTTGTTATTTTCAATGCTGATTTCCAGAAATGACAGGTGGCTGGTAGAAATGTGCCAGATGAAGTTTAAAGAAGGGTTAAAGGCTGAAAGAGAATTAATAAAGTTGTCAAGTTCAGTCCTATTACCAATAAGTATGCCAAAACTGTCATCAATATACCTGGTATGCAAATTGGAAATCTTTCTTGGAAATTGGAAAAAACTGATTTTCCATAGAGCCAACAAAAACTTCACTGATTAGGTGAAGGAACTCAAGAACATTGAAATCCAGGATAATGACTTACTTGTATCACTAGATGTTACTTCTTCATTCACAAATATTCCAGCAGATAATGTGTTAGATACTTTATTCAGATTACTCGATACTGATGACTTACCATTTGAACATATTAATGGATTAATTCATCTGACCAAACTTTGTATGAAAAATTGTGTATATAAAATTAATGAAACATTTTATTAAGTTAACCCTCTTGCTGTAGGCAGGTCAAAGTGTACATGTCATGACGTTTTAAAGAATTACACTCAAAATTTAATTAAATTACATTATCACAATGGTATACAAATAAACTTGGCATAAAAATGTAAATAAATCAAATTTTAACATAAGTTTTAATTTCTAAATTGTATAAGAAATATTTTTAAAAACCCTTAATCTCACCCTAGTATGAGAATTGTGACATTTGATCTTTAAGTATTCCCTCTTCTCTCATTTATTTAACACCCCTCCCAAGAGTAAGAAATTTAATGTAAATTATTAATTATAAGACAGTTGTTACTCAAGCAATGAAATATTTTTATAGCCTTGAATCTTACTTGTTTACAGAGCCATAAACTTATTATTTTACATTGTTTTCTGTAGAGAGAATTGTCTATTTCACTTTCATTTCAAACTTTATTCCCACAGGAAACACATTGGCAAGCTTAGCTAAATTTTAAACTGTTCTTATTACACAGTTAGAAAGCCAGAAAACATTATGATAGTTACAGGATATTGTTTGCTTTTTAAGTGTTATTATTTAGTGTTCTAATGAGAATTATTTAATTAAATAAAAAATATTTAGTGTAGTAGTACCATTAGTATAAAAAAGGAAGGTTAAGTTTTATCAACAGCTGACAGCCAAAATAAAAGGAAAAAGAAAGGAAGACCCAGATAAGTATTATATTACTTTTTTTCACGTGAGAGAAAAAAAAAGTTTTTAATTCATTTAGAAGGCTTCAGAGATTATGCAAATGAAATTTGATAAAAGAAATGAAGAAAAGTATTTTTATTCTTAACATTAAAATCACTTTGCACTCAGAGCAGTCAACACTTTGATTTCATGTATTCACAGAGAAATTTTAATAAAAATACTTCATTAAAAATTCTGAATTTTGTCTACAAAAGACTTGTAATGCTTACAGAAAGCTTGCAAAATTGCTTGGAGATACACAAAACATATCAGAAGTTATAATATGGAAACTCTTAAAAGTAAATTTGGGGTCAATTTTTAGGTCGATTCAACAAAGCCCATAATGAGAGAATAAAGTAATCCCTCATTTATGATTTACTTTACTCCCCTTGTTTCCTGACCTTGTTTATAAAATGAACTTACCCATTGATGGTTGTAGTTGAATATAGGCTAAGCTTATACTGTAGATTATAGACCTGATGATAATAACTGTGTCATGGAAACTAGTCAGCTGTAACTAATAATAATTATTTTACCTTTCATTGTACCAAAAAATGTTGATTTTGTGTTTATTTACTCTTAATATAGTAGCACAATGTGTCTAAAAATAAATTATAAAGTAACATGTACCTATAATGGACTATGAATGTAAGAATAGTGTAACAAGTACCTACACTGGAATATTAATGTACGAACAAAGTAACATGTACTTACACTGAACCCTGTATGTAACAACAGTGTAAAAATGTACCTATACTGGACTATGAATGTAAGAATAGTGTAACAAGTACCTACACTGAACCCTGTATGTAACAACAGTGTAAAAATGTACCTATAATGGACTATGAATGTAAGAATAGTGTAAAAAGTACCTACACTGGAATATTCATGTACGAACAAAGTAACATGTACCTACACTGAACCCTGTATGTAACAACAGTGTAAAAATGTACCTATAATGGATT